ATATACGGTCTAGTGAAAGCAAATCAGTTATTCAGCATTGCTTCATTTCTGCAGGTTTACCTCCATTGTGGCTTCGACAGATTCCATACACGATGATGAAGTTTGCGTGCTTCGAACGAACCGTTGAGGCGTTGTACAAATACGTCGTACCGAAACCACGTTCACAGTGCTCGAAACCCGAACAGTTGGTGGTGACATTCATTGCGGGTTACATTGCTGGAATATTCTGTGCTATCGTCTCGCATCCGGCCGATACCATCGTCTCGAAACTCAACCAGGACTCTGGCTCAACTTCAATGCAAGTCGCAAAGAAGCTCGGCTTCATGGGTAAATCAAAATTACAATACATTAAAGATGCAAAGCTGAAGTACCATGTGATGGTTCGTGAATCAATTGATTGTTCATTAAAAATTGCAATTTTTCAGGTCTATGGAAGGGTCTCTTCCCACGTATCATAATGATTGGTACGTTGACCGCCGCACAATGGTTTATCTATGATTCAGTCAAAGTGATCTTCAAATTGCCCCGTCCACCACCACCAGAAATGCCCGAATCGTTGAAGCTGAAGCTTAAGGCTGCTGGAAAACTGTAGAAATTAAGCTGACTGAATGAATATTAATGCAAAACAACAAACTGAACAGTTTTATGATGAACAGCAATCGATTCAATTTGAGACAATTGAAATGAACTACTGGACAGTGGCTGCCAAATTAATTTTGAGAATAAAGTTTTTTTAAATAATGAATAACACATTGAATATATTTTACTAATTTCGCCTATGTTATTTACCACTATTATTGTTGCGGTTTTTAGTTATCAAGGCTATTGCTGGTATGAGTAATATCATATGACTATCGACCATTTCAATCAGTTGTTTAATTCGGTAGTTTGATAATTTTTCGTTCAAAGGCACTGAGTGTTTTGTTATTATTGTTGCATTGTTATTACAATAATTATTATTAGTGTTGCTATTAATTAATGTAGGATTATGAATATTAATTACCTGTGGATATTGATGCCAGTCATCACACAATAGTCACTATTTTAAAGAAGAAATCTGTGGTATAGGTTTATATTACGAGTAAGTTTGATTATTGGGTAAACTGGAATTTCGGTCCAATATTCTAATTGGTTAATTGAAGCCAAATCGTATCTGTTGTTATTCTTCTCTTTATTATGCTGGTTATTGTCGAACGGGTTTCATTCAGTTGTCAGTACATGCAGATAAGAATTGTTATTTGGATGCTGCCGTAGTATCATTATAGGTGTAGTAGTACTTTGATATTTTGTTGATTATTATTGATAATAATTCTGAAATCAATGATAATTGTCCATGTTGTTCACAAATTTTGTTGTCTTGCTGTGTCGATTGCGTTCATTTACATTGCTTAGCAGTTTGTTGGTTTGATTATTTTAATGTTTACTGATTGTTTGTTTTGTTAGTAAAAAACTATTGATTCGTTGGATTGATTGGTCGAATAGCAATTATTAAACAATTGAAGATGTTGTTGATTGTTCAGTGAACACTTATACCTTGATTATGTGTCTTTTGTTTTGTATTATTAATACATAATTGATCACTTTTTCGTTTTTGATTAATATATTCCGATAGTCGATTATATTATCGTAAATTATTGAAGTTTATGACAACAAATGCGATGAAAATGAAACACAAAACGATGACGATGAGATGAAAAAGGTGTTGCTCGTTTATTCAAAAGCTAATTGATGAATCTTTCAATGTTCGAAGATCGCATGGTATTTGTTGCAATCTAACAAAGTTGAATTTCAGAGTGTAACAAATATTGAGTTATTCCTTGCCAAAAAAGTCCACTAGTTTTCAGTTTTTCTTTTGTTATAAGAGTAGTGGTGTAACGTTTGGGATTTACTAGACTCATCAACCCAGCACCACTGTAACGAACAAACTGATCGTTGCACTTAGGAAATGATTGATTTGTTTGTGAAAAATATAATAAACGCGAAGAAATCACATATGAGGATAATGCATGGACAACAAGTAAAAATTGAGTCATCTTATCAGCTAACTCAGCCAGCTGAGTTTAGCCAATCGATTCGGATTAAGCTGAGTCTTAGACTTAGAAGGAGTTGTATAAGTTCTAGGAAAAAATCATAGCAGAAGCTGCCGGCACTCGTGCATCAATTGCGAGAGGAAAGAGCTCCGTTTTCTCGCCCTCCGCTCACAGGAACTGAGACCTTAGCCTGACTTCTCGTTTCTGGTATTCAATGCGCTTATTAGTAACGCATTAATTTCTTTTCATCGAATTAACCCAAGGCTTTGAGATTTTTCGAATGTTGCTTCGCGAAATTCATAGCATGAATGGATACCTGAAAACAAAGTAATGCTGAGTAATAAGGCTTCCCGGGAGGGATTAAGGAATCCAAGAATGAATGGGATGATCGGGTAGGATTTGGGAAGCCGTGAGAGCAATGAAGCTGTCCGGAGTAAGATTGGTGTGTTTGGAAAGGGTTTAGAAAGTGCAGAAAGCAATGAGAGTGCTACAGGAGGGATTAGGGAGGCCAGAAAAGAGTGAGGGTAACTGGGCAAGTTTAAGGATGTTGTCTCCTTATCGCAACCCTTCGAATTTTTGCTGCTGTGCAACTCAAAACAGAAGAATCCGCAATAGTATATTGTCGATTAAGTGAATAATCAAATCACCAAAAATGATCGCACGAAGTGTTTTGTATGGCTCCTCGTCAGTCACGTCTTCGTGACGCACCAAAATCACCATCAAATAAACTTCAGTTATCAATACTGTTATCTCGAAAACCGTACTCTTGTTCCAAACCACAGCTGAACACTCCTCTGTTGTGAATATCGGCGACCGTCGAAGGAGTAAGGATTGAGAAGCTGAAGAAGGGATGAGATTGTTTGAAAGGGGATTAGGAAATCTGAGAAGAGAATATGCTGCGCGATAAAGAATCAAGAATTTCATGAAGGAATTTGGATACCTAGAAAAAAAAAGGATTATTTGTTAAAAGATTGTAAATTCTTTCCAGGTTAACTAAGTAATCGCTCGTCATTCTGTTAATTGATAATGTGAAATAATAATAATATTGTTATCAATATGGATGAATACGTAAAATTATGTATTAGACATTCTGCTATTCTATCAAGAATCAATGAAAAATGCACACCGCCCTACAGGTTCAGCTAATTTCTCATAGTTTATTCACCAAAAAATCTAAGATTTTATCGTTGAAACTTCAATAAAATTTTTGTTAAAGAATTCGTCGTCAGCTGTTAGACTCAGCACTTGGCATACTCACCTGGTATTTACTGACAGCATTTGATCTCTTTCCACCGGATATATTTTCAATATTATCCTTTACGTTGGTCACTATAAAAGAAGTTTGTTATTGATATTATTCTTTTAAATATGCGCATTACGATTGTAAATTGTTGATGAGATATTTGCATTATTTTAATCAGTCAATCCGTATTTGTCTCACATGAATTCATTTATCAATCGGTTCCGAATTCATCAATTCAATCAGTTTCGATCAACAGTTTCACTGAACGAATTTCAGCTAATTGCATGGTTATCACTTTATCCAGCCGGACTCAAATTGAACTATCCACTCAATAGTGCACTGTCAAATTTCTTTTTGTATCACATTTATTTATGGCGAAGTTTGTGATTTTTTTTGGCTTTCATCATACATACATATTTAATCGATTGAAAGTGTTTGTTTTAACAATTCCACGTTTGTATGATGACCTTCTTTTAACCATTCACTTTGTTGCTTTTGAGTAATCTAATGAAAGCTTCATGATAATGATTGATAATCTGTTGGTAATTTCATAATAGTGATTGATAATCTAGTGACAAATTCATGATAATGATTGATAATTTAGTGATAATTTTATGAAAGCCATTGAAAACTTGCATAATCTCAAAGCGTTGGTGCTCTTCACTCTTTCACTCTATCTTGTTGATCATTTTGATGGTCCATTGTCGATGTCAATCAGGTTGTTTTCAGCCTATTTATCGGTACTAAGTGCGTGGTTATGGCCAACAGTTCTAGCGTTTTCGTGTATTGTCGGATTATCAATGTTTCTAGCTGCTGTCTCGGACTTAATTACGTTACTTACGGTGCATATGCTTTGTTTTCATGTTTATTCCACACGGTTAGTTGTTTCTTTTATCAGACATTTTTGTTTTGTCACTGAACGGTGTGTTTTGAAATGGAAATGCATTCGATAACATGTGTACTTATATTAACATTCTTATCAATGGTCAATACTATAGTGAGGTGTTGTTATCATTATTGTTGTTTTTAAATATTATTTATTTGTTTTTTTTATTGCTGGTTTTATTGATGCTCTTGTTATTATATCAGTACTCGTATTATTGTTATTGTTGATGCTCTCATTATTATCATTACCATTGTTATTATCATTACTATCTTTAGGATTATTTTCATGATTTATAACTGATATGATTGTTGCAATTGTTTTGATTGTTATGATTATTATTTTGATTGCTCGATTCTTCTTATCTAAAAGAATGATACTACCTTAAATTGTTGTTGTCATCAGCCTTATTTTCTTATCAATTTCACAGGGTTGACCTCGAACAGTGTTGATAACATTTAGCGTTCGCATGTCGTTACACTATTCTCAAGCACATCAGTTGCTATTTATGTGCTGTTTCGTCTCTCATCTACATTATTCCTGGATTGTAATGTAGTATCAGAGTGTATAATGTAATGTGTTGTATTCATATACATGATATTACTAATGTTACCTATTGAACAGTGGTGATATAAGTTGTTCTTTTATTCGTTTTTTCATTGTTAATTTTATGATGCCAATCGTTTAACGCCTTCGCATTCATTGATGTAATGACAACAGTGCAACTTTATGATAGACAGTGTACATTGTCGTTGAGATTTTTGGATTGCCGAAAGATGGTTTCCGGAATCAGCATACTTTAAAACAGTGAAAATCGTTTCAGTTGAGTGATAGTTTAACAGAAATTCTAGTCGAGCGTAGATGTATACGATTATTTGTAATCATATTCATAATAGATAGTTGAATGAAATAATAGAGACGAAATGGCACTATCGTCACATAATGGTAATGACAGTGCGGATGAACGTACGAGTTTATTGGCAAAAAAGAGATCGTCGTTAAATGGTGAAAATTATTCGAATATATCGTCATCAACTTCTTCAAACACAACTCTAACAGCCGATTATGGTGGTACCACAATTACATCGGTACTCACTGAACTTGGATCTTTTAAACCAGTCACTTTGGCATGGCAGAATATTTGTGTGACGATTAATAAGAGTAATAAAAATAGTAATAGTAATCGATTCATATTGGATAATGTCAGTGGTGTTGCGAAATGTGGTCATTTAACTGCACTTATGGGAGCCAGGTCAATTTTTATTTTCATACTTTATCGGTTGATTTATTTTATTGTTAGTATCGCTGTTATTATTATTACTGTTGTTATTGTTATTATTATTACTACTATAAGTATCAATACAATTACAAAGTTTTAGCGGCGCTGGTAAGACGACATTGTTGAATACTTTGATGGTTAGAAACCTGAAAGGTCTAACTGTTGAGGGGCATGTAACTGTTAATGGTCGTGAACTTGGCGAACGTATCACATCAGTGAGCGGTTACGTTCAACAGGTATATAATATAAGGATGTCAACGCAAACTCCAAATATGAATCAGAATATTTAAGGATGAACTATTCGTGTCAACGCTAACCGTAAGAGAACATTTGAATCTACAAGCAAAATTGCGATTACCATCTGAATTCACGTCTGAGAAACGTTCTAGACGCGTTTATCAAGTAATGTGTCAGTTGGGTTTGATAAAATGTCAGAACACTTCTATTGGTGCACCTGGAATTAAGAAGGGTATTTCAGGTGAGTGGAGCGAGTAACTTATTCATTCGTTTTGTTTATTCATTTATTGATTCAGTCAGTCATTGATCTGTTAGTGATAATAATCATTTGTAATGGTTAGGTGGTGAAGCGAAAAGACTAGCATTTGCGAGTGAACTATTGAATAATCCAGCCGTATTATTCTGTGATGAGCCAACCACAGGACTTGATTCGTTTATGGCTGAGAGTGTTGTTAAGGTATGTCGTTGATGTTTTTTAACTGTCATTTTACTGCACTTATGATAATAACGGTGTAATGAAATTAAGGTACTGTCAAAGTTAGCGCATTCAGGTCGTACGATATTTTGTACGATTCACCAACCCGCATCAGAGCTGTTTCATTTATTCGATCGCGTGTTATTCTTGGCCTGTGGTCGTACTGCCTTTATTGGTTCACCCGGAAAAGCATTAGCATTCTTTGAGCAATGTGGCTATCGTTGTAGAGATGATTATAATCCAGCTGATATGATTATTGAAGTTAGTAATCTTCACGATTACAATCGACTGATCTCGTTTTCAAAAACTATACAATCGTCAATTACCGACGATCGAAACATGTCAGTAGCTTTCACCGTCAGATCCTTATCATTTCATTCGGCAGTCGGCAGATCTTTGAAACTTCCGGTAATTAGCGATCCGTACCCACCGAACCTATTTCTATGGATGTCTGGAATTCCGGAAGTCCTGTCATCATTTTGAGCTATTTGACTGCCTGCCATTGTCAAGTACAGTATTGATTATGATAATGTTGACTATAATAATAAGATTAAGATTAAAAACTTAAAGTTGAACTGAAAAATTTTAAGACATTGGCAATAAAACCACACGAAGAAACGTTTTGTGAAGAGCGAATACAACAGATCTGTGCAACTTTTAACGATTCAACACTCCAGGATGAAATTAATTCTGAATTGAAAGATTCAGAAACTATCGGAGATTATCCGATAGCCCATAAGAAGGCATCACTTCAGATGCAGGTTTCTACTACACCAAAAACAACTATTTTAATGATCATGATGAATATTTTTAAGTCGTTCTTATCCTCGTCTTCTCCCATTGATTTAACGTGATAATTGACGTTTCGCAGAATTCGTTTTCAAATTCTCCCATCTTAAGCCATATTTCCCGATCTTCTAAACCAACAGATCTTCCTTTCTTCTGTTTATTCGTCCCCAGTGACTTTTTACATTCTTTCGGATAGTAATGTAAAGATTTTATATGTCATCTATTATCTTCTTTGTGACGTGTCTGTATGTAAATGGTTGGCTCATCTCATTTTGCCTTCAGTGTGTTCTTTTATTACGTCGTTTTTCATCGAACGGCGAGGTATTTATTTACTTTTTATTCGATCGGCTGCAACTCTGATCTGTTCATGGTACATAATCAAAGCATTTTCAGTTGAGCGCTTTATTGAACCGTTCATTTCTGGACAATCTGCGTAATCCATCGTTGGCACGTGCGAAGATATCACAAAAAATTGTTATTGGTCTGTTTCTTGGCCTGTTATATTTGCAGACGTTACGCACTAATAATCAACGGGTGTGTGGCTCTATTCACTAATTTTTAATTACAATTCAAAAATTCTCACTTCGTCCTATATTGACGACGTTTTCGTTGATTATTATTGAGGTATTGGATTATTGGTGGCGTGAGTTACTGTGAAAGTGATACGATATTGGAGATAATAAGATAGGATAAAACTGATAAGATAGAGATGTAAATAAAATAAAAGCAATTTATTATGAGGTTTTTGAATGGTAGCAACTTGTTATTTAAAGCTGTAGTCGTGAGCGCATTATCTTTGATAAACGATTTCATTGCACTCCCAAAGGTGCACATCGGGAGGGAAAATTCTATTTAATAAGCTGAAACGGAATTTTCAAAAAAACTACTTAAAAAAAAGAAGAAAAATCTTTAAGAAATTGAAACTCTATTAGAAGATTGAGCTGAAATGCTCCCTGTCTTCCCCGTCGGGGAACACGGGGAGCGATCATTCCCCGACGAGTTCCCTCCCGCGCAACTTGCTCCCCGNCCCCCCCCCCCCTCCCTGTCCTTCTGTCCCCCATCCAGTTTTCTCCCCGCGGGAACCCCCGTCCGAAAAACTGCTCCCCGACGAACATAAGATGGGACTTGCCACTAATTTTTATAAATCGCCAACCGATCAGTCTCTTTCCTTTCGTTTAGAGGCCACTGAAAAAAAAGATAAACGCTAGTCACATAAAAGTTGCTCGCTCTTGACGGATATGATAGTTAGTTGTAGAGAGTGAGTTTCGTATTTGATCAGTTGTAATAGCCTGCCAAATTCCTGTTCAGAATATTAATGAGTTTAGTATAGCTGAGTTGATAAATCTAAATCGATTGATTGCACAGAGAGCCTTTAACGTGATCATTAAAACTCAACATGAACAGCAGTTTTAAATGAATGCGCAACATCAGCACCAAAAAGTAGAGAGAATTAAATGAAGTGCGAGACAGAATCATGAATTACAAGTGCTCATGTCGTTTACTTGCGAATTACGTGCCGCAGTTAGAGTTCTTACCAGTAGCATGTCCCCTTTATAGTGCAGTCAATAGCAATATTTCGCATGTGATGCAATCGATACCCGAATTAAATTGCGTTTATTTAAAAGAGTTTAGGGAGCTTTTGCAACCACACAAATTTTGTAGAGATGGGTTAGATAATAGTGATGACCGTAGTATTATTACTATTATTATTAATCATTGTTATTATTATTTTTGTTATCATTATATTATAATATTACTATCATTATATTATTATTATAATATTATTATGGTAATATTATTATTGTTGTTGTTGTGATGATAGTGGCAATGACGAATATATGATTATTCGTATGTATCATTATTATATGCCAGTATCTATAGTTGTTGTCATTATTATTATAACTGATTACGAGCATTTTGTAATCGTTATTAATCGATTCAAGGTTGGTATAACGAATATAAATGGTGCATTATTTTTTCTGGTTTGTGAATTCACATATGGTACATTGTATGGTGTTCTGAACTTTTTGCCGGCGGATTTTCCGTTATTAGCACGAGAATACCACGATGGAATGTATGGAATTGCTCCGTATTACTTCTCCAGATGCCTCTCATACCTTCCTTTGTTCACTATCGACGGTAGGATGCTTCATTAATTGCTTCTTTATAAATTGTATTCATACGATATCAATTACAATAGTAATAAGACAAATGAATTGTTAAAGGTGTTCTCCTGCTATTAATTAGCTATTGGATGATTGGATTGCAGTCGAGCGTTGGACACGTTTTTTTAGCTGTTCTTATTGGCCTTCTCATTGAGCAGTCAGCTGCAGCATTTGGTGTTATGCTAAGGTAGCGGATTGTATAATTATTATTAATGATTATTATTCGTCATCAAAAATATCGTTTAACGTTCATTTCAGTTCAATTTGTCCTTCATTTCCAATAGCGGTTTCAGTAGCTGGTCCAATGTTAACATTGTTATCACTTACTGGAGGTCTGTTTGCCAATGTAGGCGAGTTACCTATATATATATCCTGGGTACAATATTTAAGTTGGTTTAGGTAAATATGTATTTTTATTACTATTGCTTTCATTATTGTTATTATCGTTGTTGTTAGTATTGTTATTATTATTATTAGCTTTTGCTGTATTTTCAGATGTGGTTTTGAAGCATTTGCAATAAATCAGTGGAGTGATGTGGCTGGTGCTGGATGCTATTTAGGTGATTGTGACTTAGCGAATAGTATTCTCGCAGAATTCAGTTTTAGTAAAGATGATTTTGTGTTGGATTTAGCACTGTTACTTGCGTACATTATTTCATATTATACGATTGGCTTCATTGGTTTGTATTATCGAGTGAAACGTGCTCGCTAAACATTCAATTTATAATTATTTATTCTCTTATGTGCTTATTCATTATTCTGTTATAATTGTTTTGTTGTTTGAAATTAAATGTTGTTATTTTTTGTTGTTGCGAAGTCTTATCATCTCATTCAACAGATCTGTGCACATAATAATTTTATAATATGTAGGTTTTTTTTGGTGTTTTTGTTGTTATTATTGTTATTGTTGTTGCAAGGAAAACGTAAAGAATGCATTTCCATTTTTTTATAAAGTTCCTATGGTTATTATTATTATTATTATTATTAAGATGTTTTAATGCTAAATTTAGATTAGCGATGTTATTTTATTATACTATTGCATCGTTATGGCGGGTTTTTCGAGGTCGTAAATATAATCCGTTGAGACAAAGAGTGGATTCAGTGCAATTGGATTCAAGACAGCTCTTTATCGCGACACTCTTTTTGAGTGCACTCATATTCATGGCGCCGACGGTTCTCGTCTATTTTGTTGTGTTTTCAACAGTTAGTACTGGAATTTTGACGACATAATGAATTAATTGTTTTTTTGCTATTACGTATCTATTTTATTTTGTTGCTTGTTTATTTATTTGCTTACTGTTGTGGTTTTTCAGTTGCGGTTTACAGTGATCGGAACGAAACGCTTTCTGGAATCAATGGGTCAATTTGAAGATCGACTTATTATACGCATTGTCTCGTTGTAAGTATGTTTGTGCAATAAATTGGATTGGCATTTAATAATTGATGTGATTGACTCTTTACGTCTCATATAAATACGATGCGATTGTTCGCCGTCAAAAGCAGTTGGCTGTATATTTTGTTTTGTGACGAATGCTCCACCAAAAATGTATTCTTTGGTTTTATTGAATGAATCAAATAAAGTAGCAATAAAAAACTATGATTGTTCAACAGCAGTATTCCATGACAAAAGCATTCGATAGTCATATGACCTCAAATAAGCAAAACGAGATTTATTCAATCTTGAACGTCGTTTCAGCGAATTGATAGCATCATCGTTAATTCTAAAATTAGTCGACATTTTAATAATCAGTTGTTTGATTGCGAGAAATTAGTCAAAACAATGCAATCTAGATATAAACCTATAACTAAGCTTAGGTTTCAGGTTGACAAAATGAGTCAATGCAACAGGGCCTAAGCTTAGGTTACTATGATCAAACGTCAAATTTGACGGTTCTCTTGTTATTTTAAAACTCATTGAACTCGTTGTATTTTTCTAATGTGTGAACTTTTTGTTAACGTCTTGTTTGAAGTCAATAGTTATTTAGTAAGTATAGCATTTGTTGTTATTGTTTGTGAAGAGTTTGGCTGTTAATTCTTTGTGCACAGTCTGAAATTTGGGTAGTTGAACCCAGTGTGGTGCGAGGACGGAAGAAAAGTTGAGGACGAGGAAAATCGGGGATTTTTGGGAAGGAATCCCCTAAATTCCCCGTCCTACACTAGTTGAACCTACAATATCAATAGCAATCAAAATATCTGATCATATATCATGATCACCGTCAAACTGTCTCATACGACATCCAACAAAAACAATCCTATGAATAATTATAATAATAATAATAATAATAATAATCGCAACGATAATAACAACAATAAAAAAGATTATTAAATGTGTTCATAGACTTATCTTCATAATCTGCGGAAAAATACCTCAGTAATGGAATTAAACGAATGATTATGCTGAGCAATCTAATTAAACAGAATCATAATTATTTAATAATCATAATTATAATTATTTAATCATAATTATGAATTATTTCAAACAATAATCATTTTTATGTACTCATTTTCAAAAAAACTTACTTATTATTAAACAGCAATCATTTTGAGTAAATTTACTCATTTTATCATAGTTATGTTAATTTAATAAATTTGCAATGTTAATTGTAATCCAAACATAACGCCCTCTCCTCTGTGTTAATTTTAGCATTGTTTTACGGAATGTTCTCATCTGTTAGCTCTTTTATCTCCTCCATCGTATCTCCCCATTCATAAAATTCTAATGAAGTACTTTTCTTTTTCTGTATTAGTCGCTTTCAACCTATCTCATTCCTCAACTGAATTTATAATATCTTGATATGCAATTAGATTGTCTGATATAAGCACAATAACATGAAACTTATTTATGTAAATATAGACTAAATTGACATAATCGCTTGGCAGTATTAATGGTACGGTGAAAGTGCTGTGTACATCTGCGGAACGTGGCAGTGATGTGCTGACGTGCTATTGTTGTATAACATAATTTTAGAAAGCTTCTACCATTATATTTCGTTGCTTTCACATCAGCACTATTTTAATCATTATCGCATAGCGCACCATTATGTTACATTTTTTATGATCTGCAGAGTTCTTTGCTTTATTATTTCATTTAACTGATTGTCATTATTATTACTAATTACTATTATTGTACTGATATGATTGAGACTATCAGGGCATTTATTAATTTAGATTTTGCAGCGTTTTTATTTGCCATATTCCGAAATGAGTGACCATAGTGCAAAATGTTTTTTGGTGTCGTAATAAGTGTTTGCTTTTTGTCGTATTATTTGATCACAGTCGGTCCTTACATTAATGATCAATTATCACTATATTTGGTCAACTGTCAATCAAGTGCTCAGTTACGTTCTTTAATAATGAAGAGTTTAAATGAGGTTATTATTGCTATACGACGATTAAATTCAACTGTAGAAATGTTAAAAGCATTCCCTATTGCTCCCCCTTATTAGTCGTACACTGATTCAAGAATCACTACTATTGTTAATGTGTGAGTGCGTGTGTATCTGTTTATTTGTTGTATTTTGGTGTTTTTAAATTGAAATTAATTATTCTATTGTTTTAGGTTAGCTTGTTTTGTCTTGGGCTCCCCAAGTAAGCATCGTTCAGGTGATGCTTAAAATCTTCTCCCTGCTCCTCTCTCAAATTTTTATTAAATATTCTTATGATCAGGAGTTGGATGACAATAGACAGTAGAAAAAAGAAGGGTGGAACGGAAGAGCAAATGAATGAACGAATGAAAATTCAATAGATGCCTTCTTGTTGGTGTTGTTATTGTCGCGACTGGTGAGTGGCAAGAGGAAGTACAAGTGATGAATCAGAAATAATAGAACATAAAATTTAGATTAACATGAAGGCGCCTAGCTAAAATTTGATGTATACGATATGGAATATTTAAAATCAACAGATGTTGAATTTGTTAAGATGAGCTGATAATGTGAATAAAGAGGAAAGCTTCATTGGCATAAAGAAGAATATAAGCTAATGGATAACTGTTCAAGCATATTTTATGACGAACTAATATAAGCTAAGAGGATTCTAACAAATACCCAAAAGAAACAGATAGGTAGCTAGACAAAGAAAATATGGACAAAATGGATTGGCGTTGATAATGTTGAATGATGAATGAAATCGCTCATTGATGAGAATTATATTATACCCTGTTCAGTATACGTATGAATCAGGCATCGATATTATCATTGATAAGTATTATTGTGTCTTCCGATGCTTTGGTCATTATTGATTCTTGCTGTTAATAAGGATGATGCAAGATGATTGTAATTAATGAGTTTAGTTGACTCATTGTTCTTATTATTATGATTGCATAAGGATATGGATCATTTGACTGATTATTAGTTAACTTGTTTAACTGAGTGATTACTATGGCTATTATTATTATTATTATTATTATTATTATTACTATTATTATTATTATTATTAGTATTATTATTATCATTATTGTTATTGTTTTAAAAAAAATTATAATAAGGATGATATAATGATTGACTGATTGATTAATTTGGTTAATTGACTGATATTATTATTGTAATTCTTATTATATCTATTATCACTCCTATAATCATTATCATTACTCGGTTATCTCTATCATTAATTATGCTCTGTCATAGCATCGTGGTATCATGTCATTCGTTGATTCGATCCTGTCTGAATGCGTTGATGAATTTATGAATTCGTGTATTATTGTTTTGGTTTAAATACCCACATTTGAGGTGTTTGAGTATCAACAGTCAGAAACGGGTAATTTTCATTACAGTTATCATTGAACGAATGAAATTTTTTAGCATTCTAGCTGGTCATTTGTATTAATTTCTAGCTGAAGTGGTCATCCTCAGAAGTTGTGGATGATGGATATTGAGCAGTCAATTGATTGGTGTAAACGTACACGTGCAGAAGCTGAATTGCATTTCGGCATTGAACAAGCACATTTGGCCCGGTTTTGGAACGATTTGAATGGCGAACAACGAATCTCTTTAATACGCCAATTCGATTCGATCAATATACAATATGCGCTCGAATCTTTTCAAAAATCTGCGCAACCGAAGGCAAGTTGCTAATTCACTCTCTATCGTCTTTTCTCATCGGTAATGTTTGCCGAATCTAGCAGTGTGATTAGATTCCCTATCAATGATTAAGATTTTGAAAAAAAAACGGTGAAAAAATGAGCAAAACCGAACCGTGTGACGTGAGCACGATCAAGAGGATTACTGTGAAGACTTCTTCCGGATCTGAAGCAATGTTTTATCTTTGGTAGGTCTGGTACTCTAGTACTAATGCTCATTGACAGGTTCACTGAACAGTTGTGAATCAGGCGATTGAACCTGAAAGTTGAACTGCACTCGCTCGTTGAGGAGCATTTCAGAGGCAAAAATTAAAAGTTCCATAACTCAGCCGCACAAACTTCACGAATCTCTGATTCATATATTAGGTAACCATGATGAATACATTTAAAAAAAGCAATAAAATCGGTAAGGGTATTAGTGTCAAGAATTTTTGGCTGACCTAGTAAATTGCAAAATTTTCATTGGTTTTTATAGTCAGGAGATAATGACGGCAAATGTCAAACTGTGAGTGGAACACAGTACAGGGTATGTTCGTTCGTATGTGTGTGTATGAATACGTGTTGCACGGATAAATATCACGGCTATTATTAACTTTCTATGATTTCAGTTATGAACACAATGTTTGATACTAACATGTTTATTATTGCCTAGTTTATTATTATAAGTTGAGGTTGAACTTCTGATTCATTCCTCTTACAGGATATGAAATGTCTACAAGCGATTGATGACGATCACTATGCGGTACGTAAGCACTTCAACGAGCAACAGTTACATGAATTCTGGCATAAAGGTGATACACATTTGTCATCTATACTGATTATTTATTATGGACAAAATAATAACAATTATTAATATATGAACTTATTACAGGATTAGAAGCTATAGCTGAATGTAAGGTAGGTGTTATTGTGTTGGCTGGTGGTCAAGCCACTCGTCTAGGTGCAGTGTATCCAAAAGGGACACTAAGTTTGGAACTGTCGGGTTACAATAGTTCAGATTCTTTGTTGGCCATTCAAGCGGCTCGTATTGCTCGTCTTCAGGCACTTGCGGCCGCAAAATTCCGTGGTTCAAAACCCTTAATTCAATGGTAGGTGATGTATAATACACGTTGGTGGGTAAATAAAAGAGAGAGATTGAAATAAAAATAATAATGTTGTTGTAATGTTGATATGCGATAATTAATTCCAAACTAGTAATTTAGGTTAGTGATGACTAGTAAAGCAACCGAGAAAGATACCGTTGAGCATCTGATGAAAATTCTTCCCGAATTTGGTCTTGAAAAAGATCAATTGACAATCTTCTCACAAAATGATTTCCCATGTTTTGATGCGAACGGTCGTTTGATGCTGTCGACAAAATGGGAGATAGCGACCGCACCGGATGGTAACGGTGGCTTATATACGGCTATACGACCGTACTTGAGTGCAATGCGGGAACGGGGTGTGCAATATTTGCATGTTTATTGTGTGGATAATGTGTTGTGCCGTGTGGCTGATCCACATTTCATCGGATTTTGTGCACTTAAACATGCTGATTGTGCTGCAAAGGTTGTTTTTAAATATATTCATCTGTTGTTTCATTCTCATTTTGTTATATTCGTTACTTTGCAGTAGAAAAATGATCCAATTGTATAATGTAAATGATTTGATGACATCTAGTATCTCGATGTGCGTTTATGTTTCAGGTAGTTGAAAAAGTGGAACCAAATGAAGCAGTTGGTGTAGTCTGTCGTGAGTCGGGTAAGATTAAAGTTGTTGAATATTCAGAAATTTCGAAGGAAATGGCTGAAAAACGTGACGAAAGTGGACGTTTGTTACTCCGGGCTGGTAATATAGCGAATCATTTCTTCACAATTGATTTTTTGGACAATGGTTCGCCTGTTAATATTGTTATTTTTATCGTGTTCTTTGAATTTTCATTATCACTGCTATATTAGTATGCTATACCGTTTTGAAAAATCTTAATGTATTAATGAAAGAAGAATGAGCATTTAAGTTTGCCAAGATGGGAAACGTCTTGATTTCCATCGGGCCCATAAGAAGATTCCATTCATTGACGATAATGGGCAGACAGTAAAACCTGACCAACCGAATGGTTTCAAGCTTGAGCAGTTTGTTTTCGACGTCTTTGAGTACTCAAAGTTAGTGTTTTTCATCATTAGTTTCTTGTTTGTTAAATAATGATTCGACAGATATTGTCGTTTTGACTTTATTCTATTTTCAAGTGTGCAACATAAACGTTTAGCGATTTCTACGTATGGGAAGTGAGTCGTGAGGAAGAGTTCAGTCCGCTGAAGAATGCCGAATCAGCACACAAAGATTGCATGAGTACAGCACGTCGTGATCTTTCAAATGAGTGTCGTCGTTGGTTGCACAATGCGGGTGCGCGAATTGATGGTCAAGAAAATATCTTTATTCATCCACTACGTTCATATGTTGGCGAGGTCTGATTCGTTTATCGATACATTTAATTTTGAATGAATAGCGTATTTTATGCTGGGATTATACACAGATTTGTTTTATCGTTTATCATTTTAAGGACTTAGAAGAATTCAGCAACACACATCTTTCCACGCCAGTCGTTCTCAACTATAGATAGAAGTTGACCAGTCGTCCATTTCTTCGTCATCTCAAACTTTTATTCGACAATCCATCATTCAATCACTTTCATCGACAATCTCGAATCAGTCTTTTCAGCCAATCAATTTCATTCTTACTGTCAGTATTATTATTATTATTATTATTATTATTATTATTATTCTGTTCAACCACTCATAATTTTGCATCATTCACACATAGTAATAGATGTATCCTGGTTTACTGATATATAATCGTTATTATTACCACAATGGTTCTTATTTTTTTAACCTAGTTTGACCCGTGATTCGTTAGCTTTGATCTTTCGTCTTTTGGGAAGTGAATCAATGGCAGAATGAATAACTGGTATTATTTCATTTCATTATTCACTTATATTCTAAACGTCTTTAGTATCCCTGTGCAGTCACTGATTTCAACGCATTCAACTATTCCTTTCAATGTGCCTCATCAAGTGTCATTTTGCATTGTTGTTATTGTTATAATTATTATGAACGTATTTTATGACATACGTTGGTAGTTGCATTGTGATTTCACTTTTGATGCTGAAGAAAGGTTAGGATTGTGTTGGATATATGTGATGACTAAAAGTTACATAGTAGTTTGACATCAGTAACGAAGTTTTTCATTGTGTTTGTGTTATTATCAGATGGAAATTTGAAAGATCACGATCAGTATATGATTGAGTCATATTTATGCGCTAACATTGATTATTCGTTTCGTTGAGCATTTGGAATTAAAATCTGAATTTAGACGCATCAAACGCGCAAATTGCTCGTTGCAGTGAGAATCGTTTGCATAGAGGATCGCGCGCGCGATTTATTTATTGCTGTGCTGTGGTTTTGAGTGAATCAAGTGGGTGGAATTTACATCACGTATTTGAAGTCTTATCGTGAACGTTATGTTATTAGGCACAACCATTGAGCGATCAATTTCGATACATTAAGTTGTTTATCACCAATTTACTGTTACACTATTGTCCTTTACGTATATCGCTTGATTTTTAAATTGTTATTGAAGGATATTCTAAATTATCTGTATGCTTCCCAATTTCTCACGCATTCACTATGAGCGCTCTGATAAACATATTAAATAATGGCGTATACTAAAATGAACACATCGAAATCGCAACTCGCAAGCCCAAGAATTAGTTAAGATAATAGCCAATTAATTTAATTCTTTCAAAAAGTTGATTTTGGAGAATACTTTTTCGAACAAAATTTGTCACAACACTCGAATGAGTGGACCGAAGAGAATTTTTTTCATTGCATCAGATAACTTAATGTCTTCTCTACCTAGCCATATCGAAATTAAAGAGTGGAAAACTTTTTAAAACTAGAAATGATTCATACAGTGAATCGAGGTGCTCAAAAAATGCTAAGTTCGACAAATTACTTCTTTTGTTGGGGGAAATCTCAACTTAATTCGTTTAGTACACAGCGAGATTGCGGCTCGAAAGCTTGGCAAGTTCAGAACGAACTAAAATATGAGCGTTCTCAGCCATTTACATAAGTGCATCTTAGTGTAATTTTTCACGAACAAACGTGACCGTGTCTTAGGAACGGTTGGTCTGATCAATTTTTGAGTTTCGTCGTCCATCTGTTGATGATATCACTTTCTTGCACTGTCCAGTGCTTACACCATTTCTCACACAATTCCTCTCATACAGATATCAGCATTCGATCGTCATTTAAGTGTTGCTATTGCATTGATTTACATTGTAATCTTCTGCACGAGTGTTTGTGGCAATGTGATAATATCCAATGTTTTCGCCATATGCTGTTATTCGCATGTTTTGGCGTTTAATGCTGTATTATGTTTCTGTTGTATTCGTTCATGAGATCGGTTTTTCGTCCGTTCATTATTTTATTAATTACTCGATATTCTGCAGTGAGTTATTGTCAGTTTTAACAATGTTAGAACTGACAATAACACTGCAGAATATCGAGTAATTAATAAACACTCGAGAGTTCATTGTTTTTCAGCGAATAACAACGAAGGTATCTCGGAGGTAAATCGGAAAATGGTCGAGGTTTGAATGCGTTGAAATGGTCCTGTGTCGTAATGATCATGAATATTTATTGAAATTTTTGTTGGTTGGTGATTCGGACGTTGGTAAAAATGAGATAACCGATCTGCTGTCGTCATCATCTAACACTACCGCAACAGACCATGGTGTTAATAAGAAATTGCCAACTACAAGGGAATCTGCTGTTTCTTCAGCATTCTTTACACGTTCGTTATTTATTGCTTTTTACTGTGATTGATACGTTGTGGCGATCGGCTGATGCTGTGTCTTGGTTGAATGCTTTGCATGATTTCAGCCGTTGGCACGTCTTCGAAAACTACAACAATTCTGCTCGAAGGAAGACGAGTTCGATTGCAGCTATGGTCAGCATTACTTATCACCCCTTGATTATGTATAATTGTTGTTGTTTATTTTATCGATTGATGTTCGCTTGAGGGATACGTCTGGGCAAGGCCGTTTCTCGACAATAATCCGATCATATTCGCGTGGTGCACAGGGTATCTTATTGGTTTATGATATCACCAATCGTTGGTCTTTCGACGGAATTCGTAGATGGCTCGCTGAAATTGATGAGGTGACGTGATACCATTCGTCTTTACGTTTATGAAAATCTCATTTATCTTGCAGTATGCACCTGGAATACCAAGGATTCTAGTGGGAAATCGACTGCATTTAGAGTTCAATCGAGCTGTTTCGCGTGCCGAAGCTGAAACGTTTGCTCACAAACGAAATATGCAATATTTTGAGGTCAATTTGAAGCTCTTTCGCTATATCGTCTTACTGATTTATTTTTTTGAAAGTTATGTCGTTATATTCACTTTTGAAGAAACAGGGAAACGTTTTTCAGATTTCGACCCTTGTTTATTTTAATGTTCATGAAAGTTTAACGGAGCTAGCACGATTGGTCATTCAGCGAAACGGTATGCATTGGTTATGGAGGACAAATCAAGGTGAAACGTCGTGGCAGTTTTCAAAAATATTGTCAATGCACTCCAGTTCATTCATCGTTTTTTTTTTAAGTTCATCCAGTTTCGTGCAGAAGTTCCAGTGAACATAGACGATCCTTGAGGGGAAATTATTACTCTATTCCTTTTTAAAAAATGTTTTTCGTGCCAAAACTCTCAAATTTTCGTTCGCTTCTTTTCAGTATCAAACTTACAAGACCTGTGCTGTCGTGCCGTTGTGGCTTGCGTAAAAAATATACACGCTATTGAGCGTTTACCTCTACCAGCATTTCTTAAATTCAAGGTTTACTTCTCATTCATTTACTCATTTATTTGTTTGGTGTTTTTTTAACGGTTGCGAAATTTCACGACTCTCTCTTGCATGTGAAAACAATTTGTGATTTTCTTCATTTCGTGCAGGTGCGTTCGTTTGCTCAAGGTGCAGAAGTGTGTATGGGCTCGCTACAAAGAAGGCATCATACTCATCATGGTAATCAGAGTGCCCATAATAATAATAATAGTAACAATAATGTAGTGACGACGAATCCAACTAAAAATAATCATTATTATCATGCAGTTCTATCTGATGTTACACCTCGGCCAATTGCACGTTTCGTGCAAGCTTCTGCCGATATCAACAGACGACGTTTATTGCGTAGTGGGAACTGTAAATTAATGTAATGGTAAATTTTATATATTTGCATTATTATTATTAGTATTATCATTATTAGTATTATCATTACTATTACCGTTATCATTAAAATCGATTGGTAATCTTACGGATCATGAATAAATGCCTCTTTACAACCGAATTCGCTCAGACTTGTTCGGCTAATGGAATTTTACGTTCAAGAAGGGTCAAGAAGTGAATTTTCTTAATATCCTCATTCACATATTCGGATGATCGGCTGAAAATTGAATTAGATGGTTGTTGTTTCTGATTAGTTTGTGTGTGTTCTCACATTCCTTTTCTTTTCATTTTGTCTTTTCATTCATATTATACTTATCATTGATGTTAAAAAGTGTTATTATCGGTATTATTTGTGTAATTACCGTTGTTTTCTTTGATATTATTATGGTCATCGTTTGTTGGTCGTTTAAACGATCAGCATTTCTTTTATCGGTTGATTTTCATGTGTAAATTTCAATGATTTTGATTGTTTCTGTCAGTATTGTTTCTGTTCTAGCAGAGAGGTATTGAAAAACTAATGAATTTCCGCTGATATATAATTTCCGAATTGTTATTGTTGTTTTTTTGAAGTCATATTTCTAATTTGAATCTTTCTTTTCTTTAGCAAAAGTACGATCTCGTCTTCTTTAGTAACATTAACATGCGAAATTTTCTCTCTTTTACAGTGTATTTTTTTCAGTTGGTTACTATTATTATATTAATTATTACTGTTTATTATTACTACTATTCATGTTATTCTTAGTTGTATTCATTTATATTTTGGTTTGTGTCAATTTGCACTGAGTTACAAACTTTCACTCGTCTATGAGATATACATCAGATCACAACAAATATACATACACATTTTTACAAAATTCATGCCGTGGCATATAGAATAGAACACAAGAAGAGCATGAATTGGATCAGCGAGTCAACCACACACATATTATGATGTATTGCTGGTAATTTGACTATAACCTGCAGAAGTTGGCTTTGTTGCTGACGGAGGTAATAATATTAATGAAGAGGATCGTGTCAGCGAAGGTGCTTGGCGGAACAGAGTTATCGCTAAACAGATACCGATCATCTAGAAATAAGCATATATTCACTATTGGAAAGAAAGATGAAGTAATGCGATTCCATGTAAAGAGATAATCAGGTTCGAACTAGTGCATCACCAAGTCTCTTCTTCACTTACCCAGCCAGTCATGTAAGTTCCATTTGGATGCGCTTCTGTTATTTCCTTTAATTATTTAATAATTAATGTCGACTCACCTGAAAAACTGCAAGGGCAAACGCGACACTTGCAAAAATTGTCGTTTGGACGTTTAACCACTGGTGAAGTTTTTCGTGACATCCCTTAAATTATTAAATTGTTGTTAATGTTATCGATTGTCATTTAAATTGGCCGTAATGAATCTGAAAAATTAGTATTCATTTTAAGAAAAGCGATGCGGTTATTATGCGCTCACCACAATGGCGTGAATTTTTAGAAGAGACGCATGCAAACAACAATCGACGATAATGAAGGATTAGTAGCAGCAGCATCAGTTTAAAAATTAGTATAAATATTGCGTGAATTCTAATAAAGTGAATATCATGCCTGAATATTTACGGAATGATTGAATGCGAATGAGTAATAGTGATAGGTTGTACACATGGGATCGACTGGTTGAATATGATTTGAACGTGCATTCTGTGATTGCTTACAGCAAGAGGCCGGCACGAAGGAGCGTGTCCCTCGGAGGGTATTTGTTTTGAACCAATATGAGTCGGCGTAGTCTTTTGGACCTGAGCTTCCACAACATTGCTGCTACAAAGCATCATTATCCATATTACAGCACCACTACAATCAGCACATTAAAAGCCTACCCGGGTGTGTCTGATCAGTTGATAATTAAACGAATGGACGAGAAAATAACTTATGAACAGAAGGACGGACTGTCATATTATGAAAGCACGATCAATATTATTAGTTGAATGAGAGAATAGATATTTGAAGATTGGCATCATAATGTTTGTTAAAGATATTAGCACAATGAACATGAAGTGATTAGCGGCGAAATGAACGTATAAATGTCAAGATCAAACGTATTACCAAAATGTTAAGTGTACATACACATACATCAAGAACCGTTCTTATGGCTGCCACTTTGTAACGGAAAAATTTACCATAAGACTTATACTGAACTTTTCTCGTTCTAGATGACCTTGACCAACCAAATAGACTACGGTGGAGAATTCTTCTTACGAAATTGCTTCGTGAAGGATGATCGATTTTCTGCATTTTTATTTTCGTCAAAAAATTTTTATCTCGGTATGAATGACCGCAGCCGAGACTACCAACTCTTTCAGAAACCTCATATGGTTGAAGGAGGAATTCATTGATTGGCATTTAGTTGTTGTTTGTATTTGTGATCTGAGTTTTCCTTTTATATGTTTCTTTCTTTTACACTTCTTGCATGCAGCAGCAGCACATCATAATCATTCATCGAGCGTGCAGTCTAAACGATCGGCAGGCAGTTCACTTGCATGGAACACGCACCACTTGGTATCGCCACCACTTTGTGGCCTGAGGTTGTTGACATCTGGCCATACTTCGTGCAACCGGATTGACTGGTGTAGCACCCGACAACTGTACACAACATGTCACTGGTACTGAGCTGAAAAGCGCCGCATAAGCCCGTTCCTCGGAAAAATCCGGGAAATCTGCTGCAACTGCAGAGTTGCTTAATAAACTATTGCCCAGACTAGCGGCGCTCGTCTTTTTCCAACGACTTCCCTCCCAATTCGTCGCATTTTTTGACCCGCAACATTCTTCCTGAAAGCTCAATTCAATTTGCTACGTTAATATTATGGAATAGTTAGTTGAGTTAGTCAAATTTAATTCATTTTATTAGAGCATGAGTTATATATGTTGAGAATCGTTTGTTTGAGATGAAAATAGACGAACAACGAGAAATTGATCGGTAGGAGTGATTATTTTTGGTAGTGAATTGATGGAGAAGAGCGAATGACTAACGTAGAACTGAAGTCGGTCGATCAGTTGTGTGATGCGGTTGTTTCGTGGATTATTTAAACGTATACCATATTCATCTCGCATCATTCTCACTAGTTTTACATCGAAATTACTCACCAAAAACTGCAATTTATGACTTCGTTCCATCTGTTGCATTTCCTTCAGGCTTAAATTCGTAGACAGTGCATTGCCATAAAGACTGGACAAGACAACAATAAACAAGACGACATCCAAAGAAACCATCATCAGTACAATCAAAATTATAACGCACACAAAAAAAACGAGCAGTTATTCAGTAATAATAATATCGATCGTGCTCCAGTCCAAAGACATCATCAAAATCTCTCTGAACGAAAAGTAACGAAGAGTTGGGAATCCCGATTGATATTTATTGTTGACACACGCGAAGTGAGTGAATGAATGAAAGCACCAAAAAATAAAAAAATAAAAGTTTAATGAATAAAACATTACGTAATACTGAATTGCATCAATCAATGGTGTTACCCAGTAGAGTCGCTCGTAGCGTGAATGTGTCAAATTTCTCACATAAATACTCATCCAGTCATCATCAAACTATTAATTGCATTGTATAAGTAATATTTTAAAAATACATGTTATTTAATGATGATTAATGATTATATGCAAACATACACATACTTTGATTAATGAACGTCATTAGTGTATTACGATATGCGAAAGCGCATAAACAGTGCTTGAAATAAATACCGTGAGCAAGTAAAGCAGTCACAAATTTGAAACGTTTTCATTTATTCATTTTTCCAATTGACTTATGCCATACTCTGAACAAGCTGAATGAAACGATTACGAGCTCAGCAGAACGTATACGAATAAGATATCTGATTTGGTGACAGTTTAATAATCCACCTACCTTGCTACGGTATGATATGGCCAAAGCTCCAATCACGCATTCGGCACAAAAAATCAATGCCACGAAGATTACAAACTGCAATGAAAAATACGTGTTTAATTTGTGGGAATTCATTTTCAAATTTAATTCTAATTGAATTTGTAATTCACTCCGTAAAATTATTCAACAACTCACTGCATTTTACCAAAAACTTACTGAATACTTACAGTGGTTAGCATGCAACGTGATTTTTTAATGGCTCCACAACATGCAATGAATCCGACCAGTAATATGGCAACGCCAACAATAATGCACATGTAAACGGCTGCTTTCAGCAGCGGTTCATCTTCGGAGAAATCTACCAAGTCAAGCACGTAACTACGGCGTGGATCGAGCAACGCCCAAAGCGCTAAGAAGATTAACGTGAAGCCGCTCATCTAAAAGATCAACAACAATGAGAAATGATGGAGGTACAATAGGTTAGGCCTGGCTAAGCCAGAGATGACTTCAATAATTGTGGTTTGAATTTATTCGTTCGATGACGATGATATTGATAAATTGACAGCCTACAGGCCATCTGAACATAGACTCATGCTATTCTTATTAGAAATAATAGCAATTATTATAAATAAAAGCAGTTATAATGATAATAAATTGTGCCAATAACGACAATAATAATAATAATAATAATAATAAATAACCAAAAGCATTGAAAACGCTTAAAACTTACCCAAAATAAAAGCGTATAAAATAACAAACAAATTTGTGACCATTGTGCACTACCACCTTGATCATACGTAGCACCATTGGTAGTTGAGTTCTTTTGTCTAGTCATCATATTACGATAATAATAATGATATTGTTATATTAATAACAATGTATAATAATTATTATCTAATAACAGTAATGTAAATAACAACAGTAAATTACAATGAACTGTGAATAATAACAGATAATAACTGTTGAAGAATGCACAATAAAGAATAGGACGGACTGGTAATGAGGATGGATGGAGGATAACAACAGGTAATGATATGAGATAGCTTACGGTAACCTCGGAGGTAAACCTTAGTAAGTAGTCTAGCCAGAGGCTTGGACTTAGACTGGACAGAGAGTTGATATGTTGATCGAGTGCGAGTTTTAAGCAACAGCAAACAATAATAGTCTGTCTGTTTAACGTTAAACGGTTAAATTGTTGTATCATTTATCGATTGGATTGTACTGATGAATCAGTTGGCAGCTGCTAGCTAATAACAACTGCATCATGTCATATTTAATTAAATGTGTCGTTAAATTGCTAGAGCCCACTACTTCAGACGATGTCTTAAAAAGGATTCACTTCGTTCACCTTAATTGTTGATTGAAATTCGTAAAGAAATGAATGAAACATAGCTAACTGACATACGTAGCACGAATCTATATGATGGATACGAGTTCGTTTATTTACTTTACTGTCGCTCACATTCGGTCATTCATGCATTACTCCACCGAAAGCTTTATGTAAACACTACACCTACGTTGCATACTATGCAACGACCAGAATTCATAACGAAAGCCTGTTTAACACATTCCGAAATGGTGACATTCGTAAGCTGAGGCGTTTTCACCTCACATCTTACAGTGCACGAGCATAGATAGAAAGAGGGGCACATAAGTTTTGAAGTACTGTCTAAGACAGTGGTTCTCATAGGGGGTGAAATTACCCATCCTGGGTAATTTGGGGGTCTCGTGGAGGGTAACGGAGGAGGTCGGGAAATTGGTATTTCGTACAGTTGCTATGTTATAATAGCATGGTTAATTTGGGAGTCTCATGGTGGATGACATATTCAATAGTTTAGTTATATCTCCTCAACTAAGCAAAATCGCCTGAAAAAAAAATTTCTGAATTCAGAGATTCTGGTCGATCGACTGATGTGAAGAAATTGATATGTTACTGGTCAAAGCTGAGAGTACGGTAGGCTTGAATGTGGTAACCCCTATAGTATCAGAAAAATAGCTATATCTCCTCGTGCAAGGGGAATTTTCCGGCGAAGTTTTCGTTATTAGAATGCGGAGGTTCTGCTCGATCGAACAGTGTATAAACATCGATATGTTACTGGGCAGGCTTGAATATATCAAACCTATATTTATATAGTAATATTGGTATTTCGTGCAGTTGTTATATTATGATAAAACAACATTGTGATGGTGTTTCTTCACATGGGTATGTAAATGCGATAAGTTCATGGTAGCACTCTTCTTTCTCCTATTTTCTGAGTATCATTAGCTCATGCGGGTCTGAACAAAAGTCTGTTTAGTCACAAATGTTTCGTATGATCTTCAATGCATTGGCTGACATCGTCTCTCATTAACATTGGGGACTTATTGAGAAAAACTAACATTTCTTGTTGTTTTGTTAGGATGAGACGCCACTGTGATGGTGTATTTTTCATTCGCATATCTAAACGCGGCTCGCTCATGGAAACACTCGTCTTTATCCTATTTTATGAGTATCTTTAGTTCGTTTAGGCCTGAACAAAAGTCAGAAATGTCTTGTAAGTGCTTCAATGTATTGGCTGACATCGTCTTTCATGAGCAATAAGAATTGATTGATCTTTTTGGTACGACAGAAAATGATTTGGCGTAGGACGACGGAGTATTTCTGAATTTGAGCATATCAATTTCCTTTTTTTTTCAATTTTTACAATTTCTAATTCTTGTATCGCTTATATTTTTTTAACCGGTATAATACTTTTTCCGTGATGAACGACGACATTTCTTATGAACTTCTTGATGCTTGAAAAGTAGAATGGGAATTTCAGACCTAATGCACTAGTCGCATCTCAGAACGCTCGATAGTTAGAATTTATTTTCATCCCTCCGATGAATTTTTACTTATTCATTAACCATCACTTTGGTGGAATGATTGCCTTTCCGTTCATCTCGAAGATAATTCCTCAAACGTTTATTGCATCTTCCTTCTTCATGAGTATTGAACTTGTTATCAGATTTCATTCTTTATCGCTGAAAATTGTTTTTTTTCATTGCTTTTCTTTTTTGATTACCGAGGTTCATATTGATTCTGCAATGGATAAATAAAGTTTAGAAAGTACTTGTTTCATTCCAGAAAATTAATTTCTTTCACGCCACTGAGGAGTTTCCGGACCGGTTTCCCTTTTACAAGATTCGTGTCATGCTGGCAATGGATATCTGCGTCAATCACTTTAACATTACCGCAATAATAACACTGAATGCAACAATAAATAAACGCATAAATGATTCAAATTAAGTAAAACATTTGCACTATGGCCGCAAACAAAAGCTCACTCATACTAAAATAGTAACACATTGGCGAATATCATCACAAAAAGGAGTTGATTACAACAATGAAAGAAGCGAGTTAATTAGCTCATTCATGATCATAACCAAAAATTATATATAGAAAAAATTAACGACGTCCTTTATTCACATAAATAATAAAGTTGATTAAGCGAGTTGGGAGTGACAACACAAGTACTGAAAAATGATAACAAATGTTTTGAAATGTGTGTTGTTGGATGCGATGAAGACGAGACGCGAATAGCTAATGTGCCGTTTGCCCATACATTCGACAATAATAATCGTAACAACAAGCTTAGCAGTTCCGGGATTGGTTAATACATGATTAAAGGCAAGATGAAATATAAATGATGTGGTATAGATGTAAACGTGATATATGACGATATATAGGCATGACAAAAATACAAATAAATTCTCAGTATAATCATAAATAAGATAATTTATATGATAAACCATGGACAAAACAACAACAAAGCACTCGTGGGATAGTCGTGAATAAGCCTATTCAAGACAACAAGGGCATTAACAATGGACAACGAAAGCAGATATTTTAGTAGCTCATTCATGATCATAACCAAATTATATAGAAAACTGAATGTCATAATTTTGGTGCTCTACTGGGCACTTCAAACTGTGCGTTCTGTTCCCTCAGATAAACCACCCAATGAACCAGACCGTTGGCGATGCAATTGAATGAATACTCGTGTTGGCATATCAGGTATCAAATATGCGATTAGAGCCTTTACTGCCAGGACTACATGCTAAAATTATGGATTACGAAATGACATTTCCTTTCGAACTTTGCACACCATGCATGAACAATGACAGTAATACTGATTGATAATAATGATACAAATAATGTAGCAAATAATAACGAACAATATTTCTAGTATTAAATGCAATAATAATTGTGCTCCAAAAGCACAGCGAACATACCGCAAAAACGACAACAAAACCAAGTCGGAACGATAAAACGATCCACCACATATGTGTAACACCATATTTATCATCGCAGTCGGCCGTTGGACGGAGTGTACAAGGAGGCTTTCGGTAACCACGAAACCTGAAACCCATTACGAAATTTCACCGATTCTGAGATGAAATTGACGACGTTCCTCATTCAATTAAGTAATATCCAGTAGTGGGCAATATTATGTTTAGCAACAAAACGTATCTTCTAGCGCGTGCTATTTTTTTTTCAGTGGCGTGTCATACTAGCACTGGCAATATTACACCGCAAATCGTTCCTGATTTGCTCATTAGCACACGATCAATTGCTAACTGCAAAATAATGATAATGCAACAACATACCAACAAGTTGTGACATTATGCCACTGTGACCAATCAGGTGCATGTAAAGAGCTTGACTCAAAAATTGATAACGTACTATTCACGTAACCATCCAAATTCGGATTTGTGTACAGATAAACCATTCGTGGAATAAAATCACTCGTAAACGCAATCACAAATGCCTTAAACAATATCATTTTTTCACAACCATTGGATGGATGACATGCAAGAATAATATTAACGAATAACGGTTAGAACAACTCATAAAAATAACATTCGTTAAGACGGCCGCTTTGCTAAGTGTATCAATGATCGACAGCCATATTCCGGGATCTTTGGCTCGTTCGGGGATGGGCCGACGTGTTGCTACAACAAACTTGTACGCATCCAAGCGTGCTTCTAGCACATTATTTATCAACGCAAATAATGGTGCTAACGGAAATGCCGTCACAAACAACGTCACAAAACCGAACTGAACCACTGCAAAAAATATGTTATATATTAGTTCTCGATATTTCCACTACATAGACCAAACAAAAGAATGAAACGTCAAACCAATATCGAGATATTCGTCGAAAAGAAACTGCTCATAGGTTGGTGTGAGTGCAAAGTCCAACTCCCAACGTGGTGCTCGAAAGGCTGCTGAATTCATCTCATTCCTTCTTTTACGACGTAAACGCTCGAATCGACGACTACGCGTTTCGGGAATCTTCAGCGTGAAGCCACGGAACAATGTTAGAATCACTCTTAAACCATAACAATAATCATAAATGCCAAATATTGATAATTACGATAATGAATATAAAACATACGGATTGAAAAACTCCATAAACGCGTTGTAAGCAGTTTTACCAAACATAATCGTTGCAAGCAGAATGACCAGTTCGACCATACAACCCGCCGGATCACAATCCTCAGGTCTTATACCCAGTACGCGTCTTCCAGGTAATCCAGAGAAACTGAATTAATCAATTGAAACTTCATTCATTTATTGGAAACGGAATTTATCATCAATTTTCAAAATGCAAGATATATTAGCAACACGAATAATGATAATGAAAAGGAAAGTCAATGAATGAAGAGAAATAAAAAGCTGCTCAATGACAGTATGGACGAACTTCCTCTTGAAGAAAGCCACATAAAATATCGATGAATAGTAATTGATGAACTGGAACAAAAACACTTTCACCGTATAGCTCTTTTCGAATTCCGATTGCGTTCGTGGATATTCCCAGTCGGTCAACTTTAAGGCCAAAAAACTATAAAACTGTAAACAAACAAAAGAAGTTCTGCTTTCATTCATTAAGACATTGATAACAATAATAATAATCATAATAATAATAATAACAACAATAATAATAAATAATAATATAATATAGCAGCAAATAATAACAACAATAATAATAAAATATAACAACAAATACAAATGGCAATAAGAATAACCTACATAACTCATAATCAGTATCACTATCAAATTTAAGATCGCCGTTGTAACTGAGGTAAAAACGGCTGCAAACGGACGCATCATATCAACACGATAAAGCATTTGCATCAGCACTATTCGATACACTATCGTTCCAATCACTGCACTCAGAATTAAGCATAGCTGAATTATTCAAAACGGATTATTTATAATAAAAGAGGCGAACTGTAACAATTATAATAAATAATCAAGTTAACGAATAACAACTAACAAAAAAAATAACGGTAACTCCAGATGCTAATATTGTAGGTAAACGTTTACGGAGTGGAATCTCCACTGGTTCACGACGAAGTGTGCGAGGATCACGTACGTCGCTTGAACGAAGCGATTGCAACAGATAGGCAAGACGTATTCCTTCGTAAAAATTCAATATACAATAACGAATAACACTAATATTAATAGTAACAATAATGAACAATAACAATGCGTTAACTGATCTCATGTGAACCAGTATCGAGTAGACCCAATCTCCACGCAACATCAGCATTATAACGCTTCCAACCTTCCACGAATAATGTCGCCCCAACACTCATCAATATAGCAAATAATACGGTTGAAATGTTATCGAATATATAAGATAGCTGCAAATAATAATACTAACACTGATGTCTAAGAATAATATTAATAATCAGCAATGATAACAATGACAATACAATACACAAAATGATAACAAATGCAAAGAATTGAATGAACCTTCGAATAAAAACAACTTGAATTCAAACGTTTATAATCACACCACTTATCGCAACTTGGGCACATCACGATATCGTTGGCTAGACCGCTGCGTTCGCATATTTGATTACTATATTCGATTATGAATTTTTACATATAATGAACGATTAGATAACAAAATAACATGACAAAATAGAATCAAAGAACCAAATGCAGCAACAATTACCTTGGAACATCGTTCGATATCGTTAGAAGACCGTAGAAGAAACAAAGTAGTCCAATGAGTGCACATGGTACCAGATATTTTGTGTAATAGCCGACCAAAACAAAATAAATGGTAATCTTAGAGCCAAAGTATTCCCTAAAAATCATAGATACCAACACAACTAAATGAATAAATAATAATCTTTCTAGCGATCTATCTGACAACACCACCAACAACAATAAGCTTGCTCACATACTTAATTAAGAAGAGTGGTTGAAATTTGTAAAAATAACGCAGCTTTGCCCATAGCCAATACAAGAACTGTCGTGTACTGAAGTCACGCATTTCACTAGCATTTCGTATTGGTTCCTGAAAATGGCACATAAACAAACACACCACGGCTGCAACGACAGCTCATAGTAAAAAGGTGGGGCACTAGTCGATATCCGTAGGGATGGAAAACAAAAAACACAGTTATATCAACCGTAAATGAAACGAACCCATCAATCAAACAAACTGATGAGAAAAGCTACAACCTAAACTTCATTCAACTATCCAAATTCCTAGAATATAGACAACAAAATAAACAAATGTACACGTCAATAATAATAACAACAACGAAATACCTTTCTGCACGGCTTACTTCGCAGATTTTTATAATCGAGATACTGAAATGAAACACGTTCATAGCGCATAATAAAAATGCTATTAAATTTTTTTATTCATAATGATTAGAACCAACGCTGAAACAATGAACAACAACAGTGATAAAAATACTTCATGTAGGGGATATGCAGCCGAATAAATTTCACTTTTCAACATATTTTGAATGCCTATCCGGTCGCCACGTCCAAACTTTGTCCTGCTCAGTATATCATTAGCGATAAGAATTCGATCAGCACTCGAAAAAAAATTCTCAGCATCCTCTGAACCACAAAAACTGTAAATTTTTGATCATATTGCATCTCATCGCAAACAAAAACACATTTACAGTGCTCATCGGTTCATAAACACATTTACGGTAAGGACATAAAATTGACATTGAAATCATTACACCAAAAGAAATGATAACAGAAACAGGAAATACTTTGAAAATAAATCATGGATGCAAACCAACCATTCCACATCATCAGAAGTAAAGGGATGATACTGATTTCTCGGTTCACTTATCAGAGCGTTTATTTCGTTCGAGAAACCAAATATACGAAAACGTTTAAGAATTCGATCCAATGGACCATCAACCACTGTTCGCTGCTTGAAATTTCCAAAAGAATTTTTGCTTTATCTTTGCAGCCATTCCAAAGCCTGGCTTCATATCGTAACGTATTCCAACATTAGGAAAATATTTTTAATCATATCATTGCAACCAAGCCGAAACCAGTCTTCAAATCAAAATGCTAGATGGTATTACACACCTGAATAGGTTAACAGAGCGCAAATTTCCCTCGATTTTTCAAAATTGAAACCCTCATAACACCTCAGCCTGGGTTAGCTATCAGCTATCAAGGTTTATTGCGTTAAAGGTACCCATGTTTTCGATCTTTCAATAAGCGCAACCAGGTAAATACCAACTATGACAATGATTGTAGCAGTAATAAGAATACGACGGCAATACTGATAATAACAAGGTAATAATAAAAGCAATCGTAATAACAACCACAACAAAATTATTAAACAAAAAACAATAAAGAATTACTCACAGGCCTTCGATCAGCTCGTACACGCATTTCGATTCCAAGTTTCTCAGCTCGTTTAGACAGTAAATCATATGGTACATGTACTAGTACGAAACTCATATTGCTACAAAACTGAAAAATAATAATCAAGATACGATGAGTAGAAAACTGAACAACTTCATTATTCCAACTAAAAGTGGTAATAACACCACTAAAAATAATATTTTGAAATGAAGACACTTGGCGAACTTCTCACCTCTCCTTTAACATATTCCAATTCTAAGCCTTTTATTTTCAAATTTTCCTCATACATTCGCCGTCTTTTCGATTTTTTTGATTCATTGCTCGATAGTGCCTTGAAAAAAACAAATTACATTTCGACGAAATATTCGAGCGTACAAAAATTGATTCCTCTCTTTAATTACAAACGTGCATACGCAATGTGCATCTCCTAAACGACAAATAAATATTTGGCACCACTCACTAACAATAAATTGGGCACTAGCACGCTATCGCTACCTAGCGAAAAGCCTATTTCGATAGCGCTCTACTCCCATCTCTGGTAATAACAACAATAAAATGCTAAACAAAGCACAGCAAACGAACGAACATAATGTGCAATAAGGTCGTCATCTTCGCTCGCAGATTCCTCTTCCTGATTTGAAATCAAACTGCTATCTGCTTCATAAGCTAGCACATAGTCGACTTGTCGACGACCATCCGAAAAATACACATACCGAGTGGTTTCTTCACTCTGTGGTGTGCCCGCTGTTGTTGAGAGTGACTGCAATTTATTTGTTTGGAAAAAAATTTATTACACTTATTCATAACATCAATATTATACATCACACTACTTATTAATGCTTCAATTCTACTCACCATATTTTCCACATCACCATTACGATCAATAAATTCTGGCTGATCACTATCGTTGCAACAAAATCGACATCCCATCTAGTAATAATTGATCAATTAGTCAGTTAATCAACCAAAAAATCAGTTCATTATTCACACTCAAACGTAATTCAATAATCAACGTATTAATGTGATAATAATCAACGTCATCTATCACATAATTTATTTATGTATTACATACCACACTGGTTAGAGTTGAAATCCGAATTAAATTCACATTTCTCTTCATCACTATTATACTATACATCATATGTGAATATTCAAGAAAAATACTTTAAAAAACAAGGCATGTAAATGTATATCCATGTTAGGCGTTTTGTTTGCGTGATATTTTGATAATATCAGCCGGGATGATGCACCGCCTCTAACAGTATCAGTCCGTCTTATCAGCAAATAACACTACCCATTCTTATTAGGTCTAACAGATCTTAGTACTTGCTCTTTGTACGCTAGCTAGCTGGCTCGTTCTAACGGCTATTTCTGCCCTGTCTACCTCCTCTGGTGAATTGACACACTTAACAAGCAGTCAAAAGTAATTCAGTCACAAAGCAGACAGCTCAACACCGTCAACAGAAACTACCGGCTATGTTGAACTCAACGCTCAACGATCGAAGCCCACGCACACTGTTCACTGAGTCGTAAAGCCAGTCAAATCCAAAAGAAGATGCAATACAGAATACACCTCGAGAAAAAAGGTTAACAAATAATTCCACCTCTCCTAGGGTTTACAATAAAGTTCGAAAATTCATCCATAACCACCACTGGTATATCTTGGAAAATGACAGATGACTGTCCAGTTCACCTTCCACGTCTAAGCATGCAAAAATGAATACATATCAAATACGGCGTGCCGTAGTAATGAATCATGTCAGAAGAAAAAAACAGATAAAAGAAGAAATTTGAATCTGTTGCAAATGCTAATTCAACTCAGCTGCAGAACGGTGAAAAATACTCATTAAACACTTCTCCAAACTGTCCATAGGTACCATTAATTTTTCTTTGTTTTTTTCAGAAGCATTTTTTTCGGAACAAAATTAATTTGTGTATCCACTAAATTGCCGACAGAGCAAATAAACGAGATTGAGAGATTTAAAAAATGATCACACATTTGAACATAAGTATACTGCTCATACTACTACAACCGATCCATTATGGTATTGTGGTAATAATGATGATAATTGCATTAAATCATTATGACACGCATACGTAGACCCACACACACACATGTATATATATTCGTGTGAACTCGACGATCAAAGAATTTTTCATGCATAAGGTTGAGGAAAAGAATTTTATACACATTTTTATACACAGTATGAATTAGAAACTTTTCAATTTTAAAATCATTCATTCAAATATTATTTCATAAGATAATAATAATATTAATAATAAACATAATAATCATTATCGAAATGTGTTCAAGAACAGAGAAGTTTCTTCACAAATGAAAAAACAAAAACGATGCTGAACGAAACAAAATAAAATAAAAAATGACGAAACTTTACGAAACATTGGAAGAGATAAAGTTTTAAAAAACGTGAAAAACACAAACAAGCTGTAATTCGTCACAACTGTAAAAGGACGACATTTATAGTAACAATGCTAATAGCAATAAAAACAGTGCTCAACCGTAAGGTGATCATACTTGATACAATAACGCATCACGGTACTACACGACCTATCTAGGTTAGTTAATAATCACGTTCAGGTTGCATATTAATAGCGCTTGAGTGAATGTTTTTGATACTGCTACCGCGCAATAAAACAAAACACGAAACAAAATGCCGAAGATGAAATAAACATGTCGACGACTATACATATTTAACATCAGCAACAAACTCGAACTTTTAATGTAACGATAAATCCATTCAAAATTATCATTCATTTTTCCCACAACTGTAATACATCATTAGAAGAAAAACAATAATCTTGAAGTACCAAAATAGTGAAAAACTAAATAAAAATAACGAATGAATGGGTGAATAAATAAACCAACAAACTGAAAGAAAAACAACAAACACAACTGAAATTCATATACGGTCGCAGAAGAACGCGACAGAGATAGAATAAGAACGATGATAATGATAAAGACATTAACAATAACATAGCAAAAGAAATTGTGAGGATTAAAAAAAAGTCGCAAAATCAATGAATGAATTGGTTGCAAGGATCAACATGCAAGAAGCAATAATCATATAGCGTCAGGTTACTAGTATCACAGGATTTGATGAAGCCGTTTTTTCATAAGCGTGCTTTAGTACGATGAAACGAAAACTGAATAAATTTAGCAGGACGATGAAAGGAAATGAACAACTAAACGATGAAGTAAATAAATACGAAAATCACATACAACAGTAGAAATAATTATTGACATTAACAATAAATAGTGATGAATGAGTTCTTTCAACAAAAAACGACGTCATCATTATCTGCTGCTTCAGTGATTAAAGTCCACGTTTCAAAAAAAAAGAACATTCTAATCTCTAATCCCTCAATACAAAACACGACAACAAAGATGGACGGTCAACTATTATTACTGTTACTACGGATAACCGCATCACTATTGCATTAGTAACGATAATGGTAATAGTTACGATAATAATAATAATGATTAAACAAGACATACAGTTTTGTGATGAACGAATAAATGATCGAAGATATAAAGGAACACTATAAATAAAACTTGCTTGCTGCTGCGGCAACTGCTGAAAGTTACCATAGTTACAACGTTAATTGTCAGTTACGATTCATAATCCAAAATTATCTCATGAAACTCATCTTGAAATGATAAAGGGACAATAGATGATAACATTAACAACGGTGATAACTGTAAAAGTGGTAATGGTGGGAACAATACAGAAATATATGCACGTGTTTAATAATGTAATCAAAATTCAAATTCTTAAAGAATCTCAAAATAAATCGATAATTTAGTCCCATTGAAATACTCTCCGATTCGCAAATAAACTCAATTCAAATCCAGAATAAATCAGTTAATAAAACGCCATACTTAAACGACAATGCCACAAATAATGTGGATGAACACAAAATGGCAACGCTACCCCACCGTTCATATCATTGTACACCTATCATCATTTTTACAAATATATTATTTCAGTACTAGAAATCTTGAAAATAATTATGATAATGATTACAATGATATAAACTGAAAAATTCTTCCCTTTCCACCTCCTTATTCTTGCTGCTATGCTACCTCCTCACGAGATTTAAAAACAACAGCAGACAGTGCGAACAATAACAAATAATGAACGAACGCATAATGAAACCAAAAAAAACAAAATGTAATGTGATAAAAATCGCGATAAATTGAACGAATCAACGTGGAAAGTCCGACCGACCAATTAATCGAAAGCTATGTAATTGCTTCATCACACCAACCGATCAACCAATATGAGAGGATTCAAAATGATAGCAGTAAAAATATTAACACTAAAGAAAACAACAACAATTCGGTGAATCAACTGCTGCATATGGATACAAACCAACAAACAAATGACACAATAGCAACATGCCAACAAGTTGATCTTCAAAGAAAATTTCAGGAATAAAACGAATTCTTCACGATGTTTTACACAATTACTACATTGTAAAATTAATTAATTATTAATAATAATAATAATTCATTCACTCTCAAATCGGTGGAAATTTGTTTGTGTCATCTATTGCAACAAACAAAAAGATATTGATGATTCAATCATATCAAACCAAATCAAATCTATTTCTGTTTTGGTTTCATTTTCACTTCAAAATGAAAATTATATCGTAAAATACATAAATGCAATTTCTATTAGATACAAAGTGATTTTTTGTTCCGAAACGACCACTGAAAAAACATCTCAAAAAGGGAGGCAAATCCATCCTCTATCTTTTTTTAAAAAAATTATCGGTTTGATTCAATCCAATCCAATATGATTCGGCCATCAATTTCTTGAGTTGGTCGAATCGCCAGAAAGCGCTCAACCAACAATAACGGATCAAATCCTACGATGCGGTTGCATCTGTCGTCGACGACGGCTGCTCTGTGGCACTTAGCGGTGCAGCCGCACTAGTTGTTGTGGTTCCGCCTGTCGTTGAGCCTGTTCCAGCTCCAACTCCGGCCGCCGCTTCAACGCCTGACGCTGAAGACGATATTGTACTTATTGCTTCACTAGTTATATTCCCTTCAAGGTTGTCGTACAACAACTGATCACGATCACGTATTCACTATTCAATGTTTGTCATCCATCATCCTGACCACTAACTGCTCCGAAATAAAAAATTAACAACCAGCAAAAGTGTGCAAAATAATGAACGCACCTTGTGAAGAAAGTGTGTGTGGTAGAAGTGTGGAGTTCAGGCTTGGTTCAATGCGCAACTCTTGTTCGGAGAAATCGAAGATGGGCGGCAACGGTCGACCATTCGGCAATTTACAGTCCGGCTGACGCAACTCGTCGAATAACGCATGCGCACACGCTTGCAACGGCGACAGACGCGCGCTGGGTGTAAATTCCAGCAAACGCGACACCAAATCGACTGCTTCGGGTGGTGTTCTCGGACGGAATACCTACAACACTAGGCAATCAACTAATTGTAAGAGCAATTCGGGTGAATGACATTTCATTGGCGCGTAACTGCCTACGATCAATTATGACCATCATCTCGTCGTCAAGATCTCAGCACATCATAATCATTTCAACGATAACAATGATAAGAATAATAGCAGTAATGACTAACACGTTGCCAAGGGTTAGCTCGAATTTGAGGGAATCTAAAATCGGTATAATTTGGATTCATTTGTTGAATCTGATCACGAGTCGGTGTTCCCAATATTTTGATGATTTCAACGAGCTGATCCACACCTGAATCACCCGGAAATATCGGCTGACCGAGCAGTAGTTCGGCTAGAACTGTACCAGCTGACCAAACATCTGCAAAACTGCTATTATCATTATTCGTCTTTTGCGTGGGCGACGAATAAAAAACAATTATGACGGTGAAAACGAATGACAATAACAGTAATCATAACAATAAGAGGACAATAATAGCAATAAAAAAGCAACTCACCAATATTTGTTGAATAATCTGTCGCTCCGAAGATCAGTTCTGGTGCGCGATAATATCTGAAGAAAAACTGAACTTACAACGTAGGAAATATTTTATGCAAATGCTCAATTTATGAATTCAATAGTTAATAAATCAACGACGAAATAAACAGATAATAGAACTGATAAATTAACTTAAGTAAATAAAATAATAGAATGAATAAACGAACAGACCGCGAGCAAATATATGAAACGTTCGGTTCACCGCGCACCAAATGTTTCGCAGAACCAAAATCACAAAGTTTTAATACGGCTGTATCGGGGTCTAGCAATAAGTTTTGTGGTTTTATATCACGATGACATATACCCAAACTATGAATATACGCTAACGCACGAAATAGCTGATACATATACAACTGCAAACATTCTAACATTTGCAAATATCCTCATTCCTTTTTTTAAAATCCATTTTCCACTTGTTTATTATTATTGTCATTATTCTCCTTATGAATATTGCGAACGTTATCATTATTTTCGTAACATGCGGAAGCATTATTAAAATTAACAGCAACAAAAAAAACCTTGATATATAGTGTGGGAATAATCTGACGTTGTTTCGAATAATGCCGTGCCACACGATAAACAGTTTCAGGAATATATTCGAGGATGAGATTTAAGAAGAGATCATCCTTCTGAAGTTTTTCATTCAATAAATTACTCGACAACAATCATCAAGAACAATATGATAACAGTAATGATCAGAACAATAATACTAATAAAGATAATAACAACCATAGAAATACGAGCAACAATATTATTAAATAATCCAAATAATAACTTAAATAATCGATAACATCAAAAATAAGATTACAAATAACTATCATCATAATAACAACAGTAACAAAAACAACACAGCAATACTTACTCTTAATTTGCTTACCTTCTCTCCACTTGAGTAGAAGAAATACTTTAGTTTTACGATATTTTGATGCTCTAATTTCCGCATTATTTGTAATTCCCGATTCTGAAAACAAATCACTTTCGTCCATGGTGAAAGGGCTACAGCCGAGAATTGAACGATAACGAATAGATAAAGAGATCGATAGTTCTGCCGAAAATGTCATCGATTATATATTATTTTTAGTTCACAACATGACTACTATCACTACCTTCCTATCATATAGCCTTTGCTACTATCATTATCAATGCATTGTTTGCTCAAGTATTTTCCCATTAATCTTTCTCAACACAAAATCAATCAGCACAGTGAAAAAAGCAACGAAAAAATTTCACTTTGCGCCGCTCCTATCGAAAAAATTTCTTCCAGCTACGAAACGCAAACAAAAAAATTCAGCAGGCACACAAATCAATATCTATCCCACACAATATTCCTACCATTTATATAATATCAGCATGACTATGACAATCATAATACGAATCAAATAAACGGGATATATAACCAACCTTAAATCGTTTATCTTGCAAAACCTTCTTGATAGCCACCTGTTCATTTGAGTCGGTTAATTTTGCTAGATAAACCACGCCAAATGAGCCGTTTCCAATCACCTAAACAAAAATTTGTTAATAATAACAATAGTATCAATGACAATAATAATACCACACAAAAACCAACTTTGGTATCCGTATACTGAACTTCTATTTGTCGATCAGGCCCATAACCGGGCGTTGCGACGACAGTCGTTACACGACTGTCACCTTTCGATGAGTACTTACTCATTTTGCAGCGCCCTGCAATACTCTTCAGTAAACGATAACATCATATTTATAATAGAAGATATGTTAATAATGAGGAAAACAGCCGTTCAAAATAACTCTTACATACGCAGTAGTACTCAAATATCAAGTATTCAATTAGCAATTACGCAACTGCTTTAATAAATGCAATCAATAAAAACACAGTCAAAAACGTGAACGCATACACCGAGTAATGACCGCAACACAACGATAACTTTTAAACGCATAGATGCATCTACTTATGCGTACTTTGCAATCATACCTCAACATACAACAACAACATCGTGCTAACAGTAAATGCACGACGCGATTTTGTGCTGCGTCGCCGTCGATAAATTATACACATAGCTTTAACAATGTGCATCGATAAACGCGCACAACACATATTTATAGGCATATACATATGCATACATTCATATTCGCATCCATCTATTCACTATCGAACCAACAACATACTATAATATCAAACGAACAAAATCAATATCTATTGCTAGTGCTGCTAGTGTACGTCTATTAATAGTTTAGTTTGTGGCACTTCTAGTTACACTATTGATCGTTTCTCTTGTCGTTTCAACTTTATACACAGTTCATTTAACAGTGTCGAAATCAACAATATAGCCAGCTGATTACTTACAGCTTGTTATATCCACTACATAATACCTCACGGCCCTTCAATGAAAGTACCGTTATTCATCCAGACTGAGGAGACCAAGCCTTGTGGTCAAAGGTTCTGCTGATAGCTAGGCAATCTTCAACAAACTATTCCACTTCTAACGGAATGGATTCTCAGCAAATTGCTTATTGAGTCTGAGGTTCTGGAAATGATATTTTAGTCTCAGCATAACCACTAAAATCACAAACAAATCTATGGATTCATCTATATGGCCAACGCTACCATTGCCAGCTGTTAATCACTGCTTTACGCTCTTACAATGAATAATTTTTGAGTTCATCACTTGTTCGATTTGAATTCTCGAACAAAAAAAAGAAACTTCAAACGAGAAACTTAATTATGACGTGGTGCAAAACAGAAACAATAAAGAAAAAACTGGTAAGCAAGATGAAACAATTAAGTAAACAAACAAACAATTCAGTCATCAATCAATCAACCTTTACAAAGAAATTTTCTAAAGAACAATAACAAAACGAACCAATAAACAATTTCTGCTGCTGCTTCTGCTGTATTCGGAATAAATGAAGTTTGCTTATAGTTATTCGCAATTTATTGCTAATCTTGTTACTATTACTGGTATTGATATCAATATTATTCGTCTATTCTTGTTTGATAGATTGTGGATGTATACGGATATGTGAAGCTATTGATTATGACGATGATGATATATTGACTGCCTGCTACTATAACTGATACTGTTGCTGCTCTTGTTGTGCTATACGATGACCACTAAAAACTCCACCACCTTCCAATAATAAATCCATAAAACTAATTTGTTGTTCAATCCACCAAAGTTCTTCTGCTTCCAATAATGACTCCCTCTGACACTGAAATCGAACAAAATTAACACTGAATGTGATTGACAGCACTGATATTATTGCACTTCAATATATGAAAGTGATTAACACAAATTCATCGCACAGCTGATCGTCGATTAGTTCAAAGTCAATGTATACCCTCTTAATATGATGCAGTCTTATTGCCACTCAATCAATTCTACTAAGTAATTAATTAGCCGACGAGATATGACATATAATAGTAGCTGAATGATGACGAAAAAGTTGATGGCTTGCAGCTTTCACTGATCAGAGCCCACTTTTGAATATCTCCACGTTCGAAAGACGCGCGGATGAATGGTGCAACTAAACTGTGCACGTGCACATAAACAAATCTTTCTAAATATATTCGTTCAACTATTTATTATTTCTTTAAAACTAAAAATCTCCTTTTCACTATACATGATGATCACAGATATTATTGCTTTATCAATGTAATCATAAATAGGCATGAATTATCATAATATTTTCATATTAAAAAACACGAATCAGCATTATCATCACACGACGCGTTTCTATCGACATCGAAACATCAATTTGAAGAAAAAATCGTATTCTCAATGATATGATAATAATAATAATAGCAACGGTAGAAATAATCACAATAATTAAAACCATGAAAGCATGTTTCAACTTAGGCGCGATTTGATTGTTATACGTCCTTCGTCCTTAATGAAAGACATCCATGTCGTGCTCAAACGAACATAAACAACCACACTGATAAAATGATACAATTTTTCTAGGCAATTTTAAACGCAAAAACACTCGCAACAAAATGCATGCAATAAATAAAAAAATCAAATATCTCCGTTATTTGTGTGTATTACCAGCCAACTTCATAGAAAAACCAACATTATTCAACTATCCATTATACAGTCACTGCTCATTAATAAGAATGTTGCAAACGAACGATTACAAAACAGGCGATGACAAGACATCTCTATCAATTATCTTACATCAAATCAACATTTGAAATCTTATACGGATATTAAGTGAGATGAAAATGCTAAAAAATCAATAACAATCAGAAGACAACCCACTAATATTAATGCTATTTGACAAGCATCCAACATAACAGCTCCCAAGCACTAACTATGAAACAATCAAGTCGTAATAAACAAATATTACATAGCTAAATACTAACTAAATAAAAATCTACAGTTCCTATTGATTTGGTGTATGTTCATCAATTGTATTTGTTTGTGTTGTGCTGTGTTATTATTAGAAAATTGATAAAGGAAGAAATGATATCGTCAGATGATAGAATAAAATGATGATCATGAAAGGTGGACTAGCAGCGACAATTTACTGATTATTGATATTTCAAAATATCAATCCACCTACCAATCAATAATCCATTTTCCTCTTCTCTACCAAACAAAGAGCCAACCAACCAACCATGCAGTCAAACAATCAAGTACTGATGCTGCCATATTATTGATTCAGTTCTACAATTGGTTGAACATTGCCCCTTCTAAAATAGCATTTGTCAGTAGTAACAATCAATAAATTATCACTGCTAATTCAATCATTTTCTTCTTCTTTTGTCAATTTGCTAATAATAACACCAACTCACAAATACATAATGAACATACACTATATCTAATCAACTTAAATTGAAACTCATTGATTATCTATTCTTACCACTTCAACTAAACACCAATCACCTTCGTGCATTAATTCCTTTCACTCATCTACCATTATCTACCACACTACCAACCAAAAATCAACACATCCATATTAATATCAATACCGATACCAACACCGATAAACTAACAATTATTATGTAACATTCTTTCATCATTCATGCACTCTTTTTTTCTATCATATGCGAGATTTCTTTTCTTTTGCAAAAGTTTTTCTTCAACAAAATCGCCTAAGCACACACAGAGCACTAATATACATCATGCATCGAGAATAATAACGATTTAAGATCTAACAATTGTTCTAATAAAACAATCGATTATAATTCTAATAATAACATTTTAAAACTATAATATCATCACCATAAATAGCAATAGTAACGAAAATCAATAATCGTCAAATCGCATCTATTATCGCCAAATCAATAATCGAGATAACATTTTCATGAAAACGGATGATTCTTTGCGCTGATATCGTTAGTTGTAAGCAGAGAGGAACGTCAGTGAAGGGGGAATGTGGCATTTGAGATAACAGAAAGGCATAAACTTGTCATGAGTGGTAATTTCTGATCAAAAAAAAATAAATTGAAGATTACAGGATAATGATAGTGATATAATACTTATCACTGTTATGTTCTACTGATATATCCCAGTAACGACTACAATCGCAGCAAGACATCAGAAGTTACGTATAAAACAAGGCTGGATTTATGCATGCATTCATGCATCAACGATAAATAACTGATGATAAGTATAATCGCATATTTGAGTATTATCAATAACGCATTCATACGTCCAGTTTGAACAACGAGTACTCACTCGAAGAAGCGTAAACAGCAAGGGGGAAGATGGAGGAGGATTTTTGCTAAGGAACTAATAAGAATGGATAGGAAACGGAATGTTTGCCTGAAATTAGTTAAACCTATTCAAGTTTCAATCATCAACACTCAATGTTCTTTCAAAATCAATTGAAAGACCGCCTTATTGTTAGACATCTCTGGGTTCACAGGGATATTTCGTCAACAGGTAAGAAGACAGTTCGTAAGCGGAAATCATCCCCTCCTCTTCTTCCAACTGAAAGTGACGAGTGACTAGGACCCGTACCAATTCAGTAGTTCAAAGCATGCGTCCCCTATGTGAGAGATCGGGGTTTCAGTCCTTTCTGCGGACTACCTTTTCAGCCGTTCATTAATATCAATATAAAAGAATTATTTCAGAGACGATGGGAGTGAACGAACAAAACGCAACGCTAAGCAATGTTACATCCATCCATCTTCTGCCTCTTCACTTATCCTCAACAAACAACTGAATGTTGTTAGACTTCAATAATCAAAGTTCTTGTCGAAAAGTCAATAAAACGAAATCAGACGAAACGAAACATAGCCAAACTAACTGTAGTTAAAAGAAAGAATGAACAAGAGATAACACTGACGACTGACTAACTTGCTGATATATGCATAAAAATGGATGGATGGATGGATGGATGCACGATGAATGAATAAATGAACGGATAAAGAAATCGATCGATAAAGGATACGCACTAGGCCGCAACTGAATACGATTAAATGTGACGGCCACTACTATAACCATACTCATTCCTTCATCTATGGATCCCAGTTAAGCAAGCTTCAACTAGTTAACGGACCCACCACAGTTAAGTCAGATTCCATCAGTTAACGGATCCACTCCAGTTAAGCCAGCTTTTACGAGCTAACTGACCCACCCCAGTTAATCAAGCTTTCACTAGTCAACGAATGGAGAACAAGGAACACAGATGAAGCAAGCTATCTATAGCGCTTTCTTATTTTCAATTCTTCGCCTCTCTTACTTT